TCCAGCTGTTCACTGGGAGTTTTGGTACATCCTTTATTTCGTTTCTTAAACGTTTTTACGAAATCTTCGGGATAATTGTTTTATTCTGTCATGCAGCAAACCGATTTCAACTATTCCTCTTTATCCTCCTTCTTTGTAACAAGACGGTTGACCTTGTTGATAAGATTTCGTGCAACTGTTACTTTAGTGGTCAATGGATGTGTATACCAGCAAGTAAGGTACTTATCAGAATTTTATGCAGCGAAGAACCCATCACGTTTTCTAAAAAGTTGGAAAAAAATTCGCCCTGTCATGTCACAGGGATAAGCAGAATATAAAAATAATAAAGAAACACAGAGCCAACAGGTGCCAAGTTCACCTAGTGATTGTAAAACAACTGAAAACAAAGAGAGATACAGCAGAAATCTTTGGGACAGCAGAAGTTACCACTGTTGAAGGCATTCTAAACACCAGGTTCTTTTTAAACCGAATCTAGGTGGTATTATTAAGGGAGGAAATGACTAAGATAACAAAAAAAGGAGTAACCATCCAAGTCCCGATTGTTCCTCATTGTTCCTCAAGGCATTTCTCTGCATGTATTTTGGCTAACCTCCTAAATTGAGACAGTAATATCAGTTATGATGATAATTGCAACTGAATCACTAATCTGATAATTTTAACTTGTAAGCATAAATTTAAGAAGCGAATTCGATATAGAGGGTGAGTTGATTTGATGTGTTATCTTAGCTCAACAACTTTACTCAGCATTCACAATTAAAATAAAATAAAGAAATGTAACCTCTAATAAATTCTGTTAGTCTCTCTGCAATGGGTAAAGGTTGAGGAAGGTTGCACTATACTACGAACTGACAGAAGTAGGGAAATGTTGAAAGTTGGATTTCGACCGAATAACCTGATCGCCGTGAAACCGTAAGGTTCTAGACCCAATCCCTGGTGGAGTCATGGGTACGCACTGCTGAGGAATTCCATACCGGGACGAAACAATGGTTCTCTAACTGGAGTCAATCCGTGATAAGATGTCAACCTGAAATCAATAAATCCCCAAAACTTTCCAAGCTCATTTGACAGTAGTCATATACAAACTCGCATTTTCAACATATACATAAACTGAAGTGAAAATTTGGATCACGGCTGGATTCGAAACCAGTGACAACCAGGTTGCCGGCGCAATGCTCACCAGATTTTTATTTCACTTCAATCTCCAAGGGTTGCTCTAGAAGTGGTAGAGCATTGGGAAGAAGATTCAGTGATCATTGGTTCGAATCCATCTATGGTCCAAACTTTCACTTCATCTTCAATCATCACCCAGTATACAAACTAGTCTATCAAACTACAGCCATCTCAGATAGTCAAATGATAATAAAACAGAACTGATGGAAAAGATTTGTTGCTCATGATGACGATGATGGTAGTTTGATTCTTCCTTTATGTCATAGGTCTGAGTGAATGATGCGTAACTGATCAAACCAGATCTCTTGATTAGAGATTAAATCTGGTTAAATTAGAAATACATAAATGACTGATTGATTATTGGTGAAAAAATGTGGGGTAAGTGTAGATTGCTAGATTGGATTGAGAAAACCTGGTTGTGTAAATAGGGTAACAACAACATATGGTCAGTTACGTATCACTGAATCACAAGAAGGCAAGGCAAAGCCCTTCGTTGTTTTGATCTAGTGAAGAATATTTGTAGCTCACAGAATATCATACAACCAAGACCTTTGTGATTTAGATGGAAGCAATACCTGTCCAGATACTGGAGTGTGTTGTTTTATTGGGTAGACCTCCAAATTCGTCAACAAGTGATGTCGAGTTCGAGCCCTGATATGACTTAAGCTATCACCTTGTAACTTGAATATCAATCAAGTAATCTGTCAAACCATGATTATCTTGGAGAATTGTATTAATTGACGATTAGCTATCACCTGTCAAAATATTTAATCAAATCAATCAAAGTTTAAGCAAAAGTAAATAACTTTTCATGACAGGATTACTGTTGATTATCCTTAAAATTTACCACTACATCCAAAAATGACAAGATCTTCGATTTATATAAGTTGTTTATCAAGTATAAAAAAAAACAAGTGAATTTTCTTGTTAAAAAAATGTTTTGAATAGATTTCAAATATTTTTACAACATTCGATAAAACACAGCAATCTGAACAAAGAATATTCTTTCCAATAAATTCTCATCAGGCTCTATACTTATTAAAATGAAATTTTACAGCATGAAATGAAGCCAAGTTTGAGGGAGATGAATTTTCAAAATAGAGTGAGATCTAGGGATTGTAAAAAAATCGTTTTATCCTTCTCAACTTGTCAATGTTAGGATGATACATATACAGAAGAATGATATTATAGTGAACAAAAAGATAACGAATAAAGAAGATAGGAGTGCTTTTTAGTTCATTGAAGGCCAAGGGAGAAGTAACACTTGGACATGTTTTTTCTGAATGTAGACTTCAGGCTTGATCAATCTTATTCTAACAGCCTCCGTTATGTTGACCAGGAGTTGGCAAGCTACATGGTGTATCATTTTTGGAATATGATGAATGATACTGAAAGTTTTATTAGCATTTATGTGATGATCTATGACCACTGGGTGCACTAGGATGGAACTTTTCATCACTTTCACTTCTCCCTTTTCGAACCAAGCTGGTAAATGCTCTCATATCTATAGACGCACCTGCCAAATCATAGTCTCTATGTAACTAGTTCTCCAGGAGAAGTCAAATTGATGTACGCAGGGAAAAAGAGCTAAGATTAGATAGGCTATTATTTAGTCTCGGACTAAGCAGTGGCCGACCACTGAGTGACACACACAGCCAAACTGCATAAAAAGTCCTATTGAATGCTGTAGCTAGACGTTGTGACAGAATATCACCTGGAGCGTATCCTTTTGATTTGTAGTCACAGAAACAAAGGCTCCTTCTCCCCTGTCATCAATTCTCATTTAGGGTCAATGTAATTGATGTTAACTTTGATGAACGTATCCGGATATCCGTTTTCCCTTAGAATACCATGGATACACTGAAGGTTTTTTTCAACACACTCCTTGATACAGACCAATGTTACTGTAAATGCCAGGAACCTGATTACATAAGATTTGTGCTTCATCAGGACGGGACTGAGAAAGTGTGTATACTGGGCCTTGGATGTTTGGCTATCTACATAAACTTCTGAGTATAGAACTGTCTTCTTTTCTTGTCATTAGTACATCAAGAAGATGTATCGAATCATTGATTTTATTTTCGTATATGAAATGACTTGATGAGTGAGTGCTGTTGAAATGGTTCAGAATAGAATTAATACATGTGCATGTAATAGAGTTGGCTACAGAACTGTTCGGAAAATGAAATGAACTGACAGAATTTTATTATTATTATTAGTTCCTTGGGTTCCTAATGGAACATAGGGCTTCAGTAGCACGTCTCCATTGCACTCTCTTCTCTGAAATCTTTTGAACCTGGCTCCACGACAGTCCACAAGCTCTCATTTCCTCCTTGCACGACCTCCTCCATGTCACCCTCACCTAGGACGTCCAACTCGTCGCTTCCCATGGGGATTCCACTCGAGAATCTGGCCTGACGCGTGATGTCCCCAGTCGGCCATCTCAGTGTATGCGCAATCCATCTCCACTTCCATCTGCATATTTGTTGCATGATAGCTTCTTGGTTGGTTCGTTCCCAGAGCTGCTTGTTGCTTATTCTGACTATCCTGGCAATCCATCTGATCTTCAGTAACGAGCGTAAGCAGTTGTTGATGAATGTCTGTAGTTTATTGGAAATACCTTTCGTGACGCGCCAAGTCTCTGAGCCATACAGGAGCACTGACTTGACATTGGTGTTGAAAATCCGTATCTTGTTCCTCATGCTGAGTGCAGAAGATCTGCACACTGGTTTCAGGCTGGTGAACGCCTGTCTTGCTGTCTTTCCGATTCCGACTTTGACATCCTCGTCTGTGCCTATGCCGCCTGTAGTTGAAACAGTGCTTCCTAGATGGGTGAAGGTTACTTCCTTTAGGTTTCTGCCGTTCATGGTGACTGGAGTTTGTTGTTGTTGTTGGTGCTGTATCTTCATCACTTCTGTCTTCTCTATATTCACCTTAGGTCCCGTCCTGACAGAATAGCTGTAGTATTTTCATGAATCGATCGAATTTGGAAAAATTTGGATCACTGAACTCTGACTCAGTTGTTGAATGATAACAACTCCATTATTAGATAGTTGTTTGGTTGGATGAGTTATGAAGATGGGAGCAAATACAGCGGAGCTGTTCAAACTAAACTGTTTTACGTCTATCTGCAAGCACGTAAAGACAAGTAATAAAGTTCTACAGTAATTTGTCACCGGAATGTTACCCCTTATCTCCTATCTGATCGTAAATACTGATGTAATTTTATCTATCGTTTCACAGAGCAGTCAATGAACTACACGACTGTATGCCATAATGAAGTTTAGTGTATACTAGGTGATAGAACGTGTTTGACATCTAGTTCTGGACTTACGGCTCACCCTTGTTTATATTTGTCAGCAAGGTGTATCCTCGACCTTGAGCGAACAGGTATTCTTTCGCAGATGCAAATCTGTGTCACTTAGTACTGCAGATAGATATGTTATCAGTAAACCATCCCAATCACAATATCTGAGTTCAAACTTTGTACAAAATTGTAAGCAAAGATTACTAGTCTACTTCAGAACTAGAACGAATCAGTTCTTTCATGTTCTACGATTTTCATTGGTTCTCAAATTGTTGCCAGTCTGAAATGAAAAAGTGTATCTTCAAATGATCTATTAATCCCAGAACTGACACACTGTAGACTCTATTCAAAACTGAACCTAGTAGGTCAAAATCTTGTGACACACAAGTATGAGAGTTGTCATAATACATCCAAGGTGTACCGAAATCCGATAACAAGTAGTAAAATCATAGATTAATTTATTGATTATTGTATTCTTATTCGCTATATTTCTATATCGTTATGTTCATCTACTTATCTTCAGATGTTCCAGCACCACGTTTAATAACTCTGGAGCGTCAATTATTTCAAAGTGTACTAATCAGTTGGAAACCACCTGAATTAAGTTCAATGAATGAGAATAAAATTGTATCCGCTTATCATATCTATGTGGATGGACAGTTTCGATTAGCAGTAATGGCTAAAGAAAAAACTCGTGCTTTATTAGATAATGTTGATGCAGATAAAGTGAGTGAATTTTCATTCATTGTTGAAAGTTGAAATATTTGAAGTTGTACAACTCAAATAAAGAAAACGCAAAGAATACATAGCCCAGTGATAACGTCACTTAGTGCAACATTGGGTGGTTCACTTTCGAATCTCTATCAGAACATCAATTCCGTTGAGGTTGGAGATGCTCCTTCCTGACTAGTGCTAAGAACAAGAAGCACAGCTCCATCAGGACTTTCTTTCAACTGTAAACTAACACGATATATGCTGCTGACTGACTTGAGAAGGCTTTCAGGTTGGGTTCCATAAGGAAAAGAATTGTCAGTTACAAACTTCAAAATCATCGTGTCAGTACAGATGCAGTTATAATGTTTCTTCATTTCGACTGCCTGATGGATTGATATGGGCGAGGTTTAGCGATTTGCTACATCGCACAGTGATACCAGCTGTCTTTCATGATGACGGTCTCCTCCGGATTAAACTGACAATGTTAGTTAGTTTCAAGTAAATTTAGTCAATACAACTGTTCAGTGTCAGGCAGATGAGAGAAACTAGCTAGAAAGTTTTTATAAAGACCACTATGTAGCTATAGTTTAATCACCTGTTTTCAACTGAATTTTTCGGTATGCTGTGTCAGTTATGAAAATGGGTGTATGGTTTCTGAAGCAATTTGTCTACTGCATAGTCCTTGTAAAATAAGTAAACTGGGATTCAGCAAGTTAGTGAACAACCAATGACGTAATCAGCTGAATTTATAGCCCGGTTTATATTTCCTCAACGGATTACTGTTATTCACCTATTTATCGTATTGTGTGACGTCAGCTGAAGAGTTTTAATACCCACTTTTACCATAATTTTGGTGCCAGAATAGTTAAAATTTCATCCACTGTGTAGTTACATGATAAAAACCCAGTCATTCTGGCAGACGAACAGACTCCTCATAGTTATTTTTAGTGGTAATTTACTGGGATTTTCAAAATGAATACTTCATATCTTGTCTTTTTTATTTCTTTCAGCCGCATCGTATTTCTATCCGTTCCATCTCTTCACACGGTCAATCAAAAGATGCACAGTGTACACTGGTTGTCGGTCGAGGGATGACTGCTACACCTGCTCGATTGAAAGCAACACAAATTGGTACAAAATCAGCTAAGCTAAGTTGGATACCTGGAAATAGTAATTATTATCATAGAGTCTACTTAAATGAATGTCCATTACACTTGTGTAAACCTGGAGTATATAAGTTGCACTTAACGGGTAAGCTTTTCATAATTCAGTACATTCTTTACGAAATAATAATAATAATAATCTACAATTTAGGCCTACACATGATTGCGTTGAGCGTTGCGGTATTACTTTGGGGTCTGTGTTGTATCAGCTCGGTACATAAATCACAGTGGATGGTTTTTCATTTTGTTGCCATGATAATGTTATAACGACTTTTCCCTATAAATGAAACACACCTCATGGTTAACTGCCTCATTCCTAAACTATTTCTGTCTTCTTTCAGTCAAACACCTTATGAGAAGTTATCACTGAAACATAGCTGTCATATAGTCTTAACTAACAGCTTCTATCCCTAAGCTTCTTCAGAATTAATGACGTCAAGAAATTCAAACCCCTGTGTTCCATTAAAATGGTTTATTATTCCCTAAGCAAACATATTTTTGCGGTGAAGCATTTCTCATGGTTACACTTATTTTTTCGACGAATTCTCATATGAAAATGAAAACAAGCGATTCATAGAAGACACTTTTCGTCGGTTTTTGAAGGGTACTAGGCAAGACAGGCAAGTCGATCATCGGCTGAGATGGCTTGGACATGTACTACGCACGCCAAGCAACTGTTTACATCGATATATCATGCTAGGAAAGGTTGCATTAGATTGTGAAGAGGGTTCAGGGTGACCAAACAAAGACTTGGTACTAGTACATCAAGTCCCTGACGTTTGATCTCAGCCATGTGGGGAGATGTTGACTGCTTGGTTGACTTGGATCGTCGGGAAGAAAGAAATCGCTGGTTGAGGACTCGTGGTGACGTGACTGAAAATCGGTTACAATAGTGCAGATGCATTCAGTTCTTGACATCTTCTTGGGCTTAAATCTTCGCGTTAACCTTTATCTCCAAATTGTTTATTCTCCCATACAAGTTTGTCTACTTTGATATCACTCCTCTCCACCTGTTCTTTGTGTCTTACTGTGAAGTGTGGCAGCTTGAACTGATGCACCTTTGTGCGAAGTTCCACGTTAATTTCTCCTGTCTGCCTGTCTATCTTTATCTCATTTCATTCGGTGAATTGTACAATGAAATTCACTTACCATCTTTTGGTGAGAACCAGCAGGTTATTTCATGTCTAAAAGCGGTTATTTAAGCATAGATACCAATAAAAAAAATTGAAAGCTTATTTCAAAATATTTATCAATGTTGAAATGTTTCACTGTAATGACATAAGAACACAAGGTTGCTCAGTTAGTGAATACTCTTCAAGATATCATTATTAAGTATGAATGACAAATTGAGTAGCATGACCATATATTTAATGAATAAATTGCTTTCATGGTCAGTATAGTAACAACGGATAATTGAAAATATGTAAGAAATGAATAGAATAAAAGATTTGGAAGAGTTGGGAAACGTTTTCAAACGCTAAACACTAAGTTCATGCAAGCAGGAAAAGTTGGGCAAGTCTCTTTTATATGAATAGCTCCAGCTTTTCTGTTTGAGTTGTTTCAGCCTCAGCAATATACAAAGGAAACAGATGTGCATTGACTTTAGTAAGTTTCTGCTGAATTTCTAAATAACTTTCAAAGACTTGGTTTTTGAGAATGAATGGCTAGTGTCGACATGGTGTTCCATTATCGCTCTTATTCCAAATCCACTGTTATACAAGTTCAGTCGTCACTTTTAAATATCTTTCTTGTGACGATATATATATATATATATATATATATATATATATATATATATATATATATATATATATATCGGTATACACTAATGATTTGGGGTCTGTTACGCAGTAACTTCTGCTCACCGTGAATATTTACAGTAGTCGATAATCTTCACAGTACTGCTTTTCATCCAAATTGTCAATGCGAATATGAGAAATAAGCAAATGAAAGTAAGTAGTTCAGTAAACAGACTATTATCGGTGATTTCATTCACTAAACTGTACAACCACACTGTATATTTTTATATACCCCCAGTCGTTGCTGTTTTATATCTTTACCAGTGACTTGATACAGCCTGAATTATATGTGTGAGAAGGTTTATGCAATACCTTCAGATCTCACCCTTAATAGTCACTCAGTCTCCCAGTAAGTAGAAAAAGGCGGTAATAGAACAGAAGTTGCATTCACAACACCAACAATACATATACAAATTACAATGCTCGTGTAAGTAACAATGGCCTAGGCTATTTCCAAGCCTACTAGAAATATATTCCATTGATTTTGCTTCTCTTCAATCAACCCAATACTTACACTTTGGTTTTCGTGTTTGTTAGGTATATGCGGTTTCTCTAATGAAGATTTTGTCAATCTTTCTACACACTTTAACACCTCCTCCTTGAAATAGAGAGGGATATTACAATACTACCTTCCGATTGACTAGTAATGTTTCTCTGGGTCGTGACAAATTATTCCTGAATACTGTTCTGCTGTATCTGTGTTGTGGCATGATCTGAAGTAACTGAAGTACTGTTGGAAATGGAGGAAATGATTTCTTGACACTTTGAAGAAAAGTATTTGATAAACTTTTTCCTCCTTGCTTAAAAACGGTGAACAGATAAGCATTTGTAAAATCACTAACCAATGCTTTAAATGTGAAATTTCAATATTGTATGGCACTGAATTTACAAACATGCTTTAAGTTCATCCAAATTAGTTGTGTGGATTTAAGCGTTGCCATTGAACTTCCAACTGTGAAATGGTTAGATAAACTTGCCAACCGCAATAAATCAAATTTACTTAGACTTTTCTGAGCAGGCAGTGCTGTTATACTGTTTCGGTTCCGTTTGCCAACAAGCCTCAGTTTTTTAGATGACTCCCTAAGATTTTGTATCCAGTTTGAGCCAGAATAATCTAGGTGTAGTTGGTCAGAACGATAAGTTACTCCGCTATGCGACGAATTGCTATGGTCAACAGTACAGTAATCTACTCAGATGACTCGCTTCTGACCGCCTGATACACTGAGTGAGCAGTGAATTCTGGTGTATTTGAGGTTTTTCAGTTGCTTGCTAGTTAGTGGATATGATGACTGAAATGCAGCTGCCTTGCAGGGATAGTCGTCGTGTCCATTTTCTTGTATGCACATAAATTGTTTGTGATGTTATAAGCGACGATGTGTATGTGGAGGCTTTAAACCACCTTGGGTATCTGGGTTACCGTTGAAGTTGATGACTGGTCTTGCACTGGTACTCCTTGAGATCTTCTTGTGGGCCTTCACTGTGAGGTATAGTTGTCGAAAGGCTGAGTGACACTGAACACGTTACATCATTTTGAAAACTCTCAACAAGTAATTCATAGTTTTTATTAACATGAACTGTCTGAATATCCGTATCATTTATTATGTATCGGTGACTAGCGGAGGGGTTTTTATCGTTCTCATTCGTCGACGTAGCTTGATTCATATTATCAAGGTTCTTGAACTCATTTTTTCACCTTCACTATGTTCATCATTGAAGTATTTACGAAAAGTCTTTTTCAAAATCTAAGAACTTAGAGACGTAGATTCTGCATGGATTACATCCAGCATCTCCTTGACTTTCTTAATAATTCTCAGTGCTGCGGTTTGCATTCTTCTATTATAGCTCTGCAAAAAAACTTGAAATTTTTCATTAGAAAAAGCAGCCGTATTTTAACCCGCTAGCTTTCCTCCATCGTCATTTATTGGTTTCATCTGTGTTGATCTCTCCCCTCTCAGATAGCAACCTGGTTATTTGATATTATGTTGTCAGGTCTCTGTCTCTCCCACCTACAGCCTGTTCTACTTCACTTGCCAATGTGTCGTAGAAGTGTATTTCGTGTTTGCGTGCACTCTTATTCACTTCTTTGTCCAGTGTAGTGTTTTATCGGTTGTGTTCGGTTTCTCTCATCTTGGTTCATCCTTGCACTGGTTTGTCTTCTGATTCACCATCTTGCTGACCTTCCTCTATCAGCTTCCATGTGTCAGTCGAGATACATCCCGTATCTTCGCACTTCGTCCTTCCTAACACCGTCATGCAGGTTTCTGTACACATAGCTTTCAAAGGATTTCAGTGTTCTTCCACACCTGATCATTCAGATATGTTGCTCAATGTCTCCCATTTTGTTCTGATGACTGGTTGACGTGAAGATGTCTTTTGTAACTTCGTCCTTCAGTTCAGTTTCTGTTCTGGGTGTTCAGCTTCAACTTGAACTGTGGTGCATCATCACCGACTTCTGTGAAGGCTTTCAACTTGATTTGGAGGACAGGTTGCTTGCACTAGATACTAGATAGTGGTGTGAACCTACATCTGCTCCCCTTCTTCTTCTGACCGTGTGTTCAGTTGGCTGCGTCTCCACTTTCTTCACATTGAGATGAAGTCGATCTTATGTTCAGTGAAATCCACATCGCTCGCTTTGTGAATATCCTTGTGTTTGTACACACTGTCTCGCCTCCAATCACCAAATCGTTGAATGCGTGGAAATCTGCAAACAGTTCTCCATTCTCGTTCGTCATTTCACTGAGTGCATCACGACCTATGATGAGTTCTCTTCCTGTGTCGTCTGCCCCCTGTTTGGCACTCGTGTCACCCCACCCACTGGAATTTTGATGTCGCCAACTGGAGTGGGGTCTTGTTTATTGCTGACTGCAGTTGTCTATAGAATTCCTCCTTCCTCTCTTCACATGCATCATTTGTAGGTGATTAGTGTAGCACTGAATGATTGTGACTTTCCTTCCTCTTGAGTTGAATGATGCTGTTATGATCCTGCATGAGGAGGTGGGTTCTCACTGTATGAGAGCCTTTGATGTTCTTGAAGACATGATGAGAGCCACTGCATAACTCAGTGTTCTGGTGGTTGTCATGTGGGTGTGAATATCGGAGTAGATTATTGACTCCTTTCCAGTTGACATTTTAGAGAGTTCACTTGCATTCCATCGACTTTCACAGATTCCGAGCACTTCTATGCCAGACTTCCTCATCTCTTTCGCCATCTGGTTAGCTTTGCCAACCAGCTGCAAACACTATACGGAGATTCCATGTCTCCATCCTTACTTTCGCTTTCATCGACAGAGGGGTGAGATATCGACCAATTGGCTTCCCGAAGACTTTCCCCAAACTGCATCACTTCGTCTCTCTGATTGCAGTGAGGAATAGGTTTTTTTTATTTTTTAAATTGTCTTTGTGCTTATAAGTTTGTTTAGCGATTGGATTGGTTTTCCGGTTTAGGGTTGCTAGCCTTATGCCCAACCTTCCCTTTTTGTCCGGTCTTCGGACTGTCTAATAACTAGTGAACTAGTTAACCAGCCGGAGGTATGCCTATGCTTCAGTCAACATTATCCCTTTCTTTTAAAATCGTCATTGGTATTTGAGTTATTATCATCATCGTTATGTTTAAAACATTTCTCACATCAACCAACAGATCTGCATAGTTGGTTTATATATATATATATATATATATATATATATATATATATATATCAGTTGAAAAGGTCTGAGATAGTCTGAAAGGCAGTATTCTTTTGACACAGATATTTACAAGTAATTTTTATAGTAATGTGACGTCACGTTCGAAAACAAAGGGAAAATTTTTAAACTGTGTGCTGTTTAGAAATCTGTAACAGTCTTGTTGTAGTTGATAGCTGCTCGGTCTGATTAATTCGTTCCATATTTTTGTCTTGTATCTTAAGGATTCGACTGCAGCCTAACTACCTACAGTCCCTAGTATATCTAACAATACTGACATCGCTACTTTAGAATACCAGACTGATGATGATGGATAGAAATCTTTACTGGATAATTACAATGAGTATTGATAAAATGATAAACATTGAACTCACTTCTACATTTAAAACAAACTACCTATCAATTTATATTGCATCCTTGTTTGGCCTTTGTATTTGCTTCCCTTTTCGCTTGCTGCTTTCTTAAAAGCTTCTTCTGATTGAATCGTGGCCTCAAATGATTTTAGCGTTAGATGGTATCAGTCAGTCAACAGTAAGTTTTATTCGTCTCACATTTCGTACCTTCCACCACTGATCAGCAGAGAAGTATGAGACCACAAAAAAATTGGCATTCCTCTAGTGATACCAACGTGTGTCAATGAATGCTTAAGTCAGAGGCCTAAGCACTTAGTTACTCTAGCCACGACTTTCACCCTGTATAGACTGCATTATGTTCACGAAATGGCTACCAGTGGGTAACCAGTACAGTTGTCTAGTGTTTAATGTCTACTACATGCCACAGCACAATCGATATCTACGCCAACACCGTTTGAGTCCTAAGATAAAGGATATTGTATCATATTGATAACTATCTTGAAGTGTTGTCACCACAATGAAATTTTTCAAATAATTACTACGAGTCATATTTAATCTGCATTATAGACTATGCTATAAAAGGGATGGTATAACACATTAATTAAATTCACCTCTTCTCTTTCTTTGTAAATATAATTAAACATTAACTAATCTAAATTAGTAAGTCCTTTTTTATGAAACGGTCAATCAGTTTTCTGTGATGAAACTCAACTGGATAAATATGTCATTTACATAATGATTTAAATAGGTTAGCACAAAGAGGAAAATAAAGGTCATTCTAATTTAAAGCAATAAGCTACATGAAAAAAAATAAACAGTGTCACTTTGATTTAGTGTATAAAATGTCGAACAAATATAATTAACTTTATCCTTGAGTGATTAAATGATTGACTAATTAAAACTAGTGATTGAATAAAGCATTATCAAACTACTCAATTACTACTTAAATCCTGATATACATTTTGTATGGGTTAGAGAAGTATAGTACGTTTTTGTCGACCTAAGCCAGCTGATAAAACAAAAGATGAATAGATTTTAAGGTGTTAGTGTAGAAAAGAATAGTATTTAATTGATATTAGCGATAACTACTAGGTATAGTTTGGAAATATGGGTATTTCTAGAGAGTATGATGAATTCGTTTTCAAGAGTATGATTGAAGACATAATGATAAGAAAGGAACATGTCCAGTAGACGAGTCCTAAATAGAACGAAACGCTCATCCTTTATAACACTGCTAGTTCCTATCCACAATTTCTGTAAAATCGTAACGACAGGCAGTATAAAAGAATTCACACAGGAGCTAATAAGCCGACAGTCACTGGTCAATTCTGTCCAGTAAACGATAGAACAATTATAAAGGCAACATCGTAAATACTATGCCCAGCGCACGTCACGTGGTGGTCTTGTAGGTAACGCTCTGGAGTTTGAAGTTATAGCTCTCAAACTCTAGGCTTAGTTGAAGCAATATCACTCATTAGAAGACAGCTACATCCGCAATAGGACGAAACACCCATCGTGAATTCCATTTCCAGCCACTGATTCATAATTACTACGAAATCCCGTAGAGTCAAGAAAGTGGGAAACGCTCAATATAATTTCATCGTCTTTCAATTTGTATATCTACACTTACTGACTATGTGATGGTGATGAAAGTGGTGGGATTAAAAGCCTGTCACTGAATGACTGATTCGAGTGTCTACGCAACTCTTATATTTTATAGCCTTGATTGAGTTAAAGATAATCTACTTGAACATGTGCCTAAGTGGCTTCAGAAGTAAATGACTTCTGATAGTTTGGTCAGTGCAAGCGACAGATGTCCCTTCTCATTCATCGCAAAACATATATTAGAAATTGGTCATAAGAGTAATTTGAAGACCGGGTTTACTGTATGCACGGTATAAATATGGTCAAGGAGAGGTACTCTGATTTATCGAAGCACTTGGTATCCATAAACTCAACCCCCTAAATGAAATCCTATTACCTGAATTAACCTTTCTCGATTCCGATGTATAAATTATTCGACAAGTTCATGTATGATCAGACTGTTCGAAATGTATATCACTAATGCATCACTCATGTTTCAGATAATCCCCGTTTTCTCGGTATGTTTTTTAAAGCCTACTTCTTCCCATTGTCTACTATGTGATCAGAATGTTTTGTTTATTTCAGTAACAGGAATTTTATTGATATCTATCTAGAAAGAAACGGTTTACCCAAAGAGAGAGAGAATAATGATGGCATATTGATCTCGGGGACTAGTAGAGGTCGAGTAGTTCAGCCCTGTATATCAAAGGGAAACTACACGTATTGTAACAACAATTGAAACTCATTGCACAAGAGGTGTCTATCGTGCCCCAGTAGCGTAGTGGATAACGGTTCGCCGTTTGAAGCGATGCGTGCGAGGTTCCAGTCCTAAAGGGAACAAAATCACTGACTTGGTTGCAGGCAAAATCTATATGACCAGTCCCAAATAGGACGAGACGCCCGTCCTTGACACCTTTCCTAGTCACCGAGATCAAGATAACTAATGGGTCTGCTTTTTAAACAGTCCGAGTTTTTATTTAGATAGTATGCACCAATGGATGATAGATAGATGAGACCATTGTGACTAGTTGATGATCCTGAGTTGTGTACAAGGTATTGAGCTACGAAAAGTTGCTTTCTTTCCATTGTCTTGGAAATCACAGTTGATGGATCAACTCCCTATATGCTTCTGTGCTTAAGAAGCTGTGTATTTATTTATAAATTTATCTCGCAATCCTTCATCAGTGCCAAAAATGATTAGTGATATTACATAGTGAATATCTTCATCTTTGTGTCAACAATTATTTTTCTCTGGCACAGATTTACCTCCAGATACGTTGCATCAGGTTTGTATTCAAGCGTTGCCATCTCCAAACAGTACACCTGAACCTATTCAACAACCTCCACCGTGGAATAATGCTAGTTGGAGTGGTGTATATACGCAAAAGTTGGCTGCTTTCATTGAATTTCGAACACTTCCTATAGGTATGTTCTAAAAGTTTGTAAGTTCCTTTTCTTTCCTTATCACTAATACTGAGGATCTGTTTAAACTGTATCCATTTAATATGTGTTTAGTTGATTCTGTAATCCTTGATGGTGATCAAAGATTGTAGTTGGTAGTGGAATTCAGGAGGCATGTTTTGAAACATTTGGAACTCGCCAACTAGATGTACTTGCAGCCTAGTTTCAATTGAGGCTATAGTCCACCGACAGTTGTTTTAAATGCCAGACTACCGAGTTATGATAGCTGCCTTGTTCACTATTATTGCTGGTAGTGTTCCATGGTTGGTTAATATGAATCAAAACGACTATTCGCAATTGTAATACAAGCTGTTATTCACCGTGGACTGACATCACTGGTGACTAGCTTCGGAGATGATTCCTGAAGTTCCAGCGAGTAGTTGTGACCACTGGGGCAAACCTGGTGGCAGTGAGGACAAATGCTCAATGATGACAGTGGCTGGTGGACGCCTTATATCGTAAACTGATAGAAGTTGAAAGTATGTACCATCGGATTCCGTCATAGTGGCTCAGTGGTAACATGCTGGCCACAGAGCCTGAAGATCCTGCGTTCGACCCATGGTGGGGCAGGGTCATGAGTGCGCTCTGCTGGAGGCGAAACAACTGCCTAGTGCTCTCTGGTTTCCAATATTTCTCCAATTGATGCCAATCCGCGATGAATAACGAATTTAAAAAATCATTAAATTCCTACAAACCACCGAATTAGGTTGATATATAAGCTAGCAAACCGAACAGTTCAATCTAATCAACAACAGACAAACAAAAGTTATAATACAACACTTAGTGGTCATATATTCACTTTCGTTAAGTTGGAATATCTAGCGCTTTAAGGATGACAACCTGTGCAACCTTGAAAAAGGGATTATGGATTGCTTATTTATGCATAGTCTTACATATTTATTCATTCTAACTGAATGGTTACAAATGATATATCAGAAGAGAATTATGCAATTTCAAACATAAGCCGTCCTACTACTCAATGTAAGATGTCCACCGAACTTGTAATGCATCTTAAAACTTTACAACCTACAGCTGAAATGACTGACAAGCGTAGTCCAAGGACTTATCGTTAACCTTATTGTTTCATAATTTGGATTAAAAAACGCATACACATGATTACTTAAAGTCTAGAAAGGTGACTAGAAATATGCTTCCACGAAATGAACTTCATTCATCTGTGTATTGACTAGACTCTGGAAAGCAACCAGTTGGGTGTTGTCTAGTCCTGAGTATTGACGGGAGCCTGACGATTATTTTACAATGTTGCCATTACGTCATCAGATTCACTAACCAACCAATATCTATCAAGTTACACCACGACGGTGAGCCGTCCAGCTAGGTAGACTTGGGCGAGCACTAGGAATCGACAACATGAAGTTGGTTTCTCTCTAGTCACCAGTCAGTGTATATAATCCAGTCTTTCAGGAGGTGAATCGTGATCTGAATAGCTCAATGATCACATAACGGACTGCAACCGTGAGTGGTGCGCGTTTGAATCTCAGGGGGATCTCAAGGGACAGCAGTTACGTTGAGGTTGCGGATACACATTTATAACGATCGCCAGGAAACATAGAACTTAGGTGAAGCCGAACTTCCGATAATATGCCTCCATCCAACTAATATGCATTTATCTGCCTTTTGTTCTTACTGCTGTAACCGGCTTAGGCCGGATACATTGCGTTTTTTTCCTTACCTACAAGTTAATGTGTCATTTCTTTTATGTTTCCTAACAGTAACTTTCGTTTGTGTGATTTCACTGAAATAATGATATCTAGTGAATTACTCAATAAACTGGGTGATGGAACAAGATAATAAGTTCATAGGTCCTAAACTGTTGATCGATTATGATTATTTAGTAGTTTTTCATAACCCAAAGTGAATGAAATGCAGACTAACTTTTTGTCTTCACAACAGTACCTACACTCAGGAATCAGACAAGAACTGGAATAACGGACCAGAAAAAGGATGAAAAACAAAAATATGAATAGTATTATTGATGAATAGTGACTAACAGTAGGATCTAGGATACACATTTCATCCTGTCTTGGACTCATCAGCTGGAGGTACCTGCCTTCCAGAGGGCAATGTTGTTCCTATTAGAACTCTAACCCAGAAATGGTTGCTTTAAACTCCAGAGTGTAGTCTACTAGACCACTGAGTCACGATAGTCACTCTTTGTGCGACGGGTATAGCATGATTTTCTTGATGTTATAGATTGTAAGCCTCCATCGTCGTTTAGACCCGACTGTTTAGTGACTGTTGGCATATGGGCTCCTGTAGAATGAGTTACTTAGACAGAAAGGATAACGTAGGCAAAATAGCTATCATAAGACCTATGAATCATGAATGTTCAGTGGGACAGTGATAATATGAGTTTTTTTGAATAAATGATTGGTAAGTTCCTACTAATAAAAGTTAGGCTGTGCTTCTATTCACTGTAACAGTATCTCTGTTCCTGTTCTTTTTCACTGTAAAAGGTTGGAGTAACTAGCAACCAGATAAATCGTATGGTATGTATACCTAGTGTATCACCATCGCCCTTTTTTGATCTTGATGCTTTCAGTTACACAGTTAGTTCTCCACCACTAGAGTTGATAGTTGAGAGTATTTTACAATAAAATGATGCCATCCTTTCAATGATAACAGTATTACTGATCAGGTCAATGGGTCATAGCAGTCACTTCTGTCTAGTTGGGTATCTCTTGCTGTTGAGACTGTTGGATTCTTTATTTCTGTTTATACTCATATATAGGCATTCCTGAAAAGTTACTTTGATGCTAAGACACAAACTGTTTTATCACTGAATTGGGTTTCATTATAAACAACACCACAAGTGGATCTCTTTTAACTGAAGTGCATCAGGAGAATGTAACACACATCGTGGACTTCAGTGTCAATCCCTATTGGATGCAATAAAATGCATCAAGGCCTATACACTAATATAAGCCATTTTATTCAGTTCGATGAAGTGATAAAAGGGAGATGGGGAAGTCTAAGTAATTAGATATTTATACTGCGTACATTGCAGTTGCAGTGACCATTCTAATTGTACTTTGCGCTAAAAATTGGTTCATTATAACGAGAATGAACATAAGCAGAATCCTCATTGTGAAGAGAATTTCAGAATTCCATGAAATGGACTAAAAAGTGAGTATCATATAGTAATCAACAATCATAAACAGGTTAGTATACTAGACTTTAAATCATCTCGAAAGCATAATTCTATTTTGGTTGTCTCTATTTCAGTGAGTTGATCAGTCTCTGAACTCATACTTCACTGAATGCAGGTTGAATACGTAATTTGATGAATAATTTACTTAGACTGCCTTTTGCTTTTATAGAACAGTACCACTTTTTTATCGACTAGAGGAAAAAATCATATGTAATCTGTCTGTCTTCAGTATAAATATCGTGAAGTAAGTGTAGACCTTTTCGTTGGTGCTATGCCCTCTGAGCTGAATGATGTAACCGAGAAGCTTTCATTACCATTCTAAACGACATTATCAGTCTGAATTCTTGTCTAAAGTTTGGTGATGACAATGAAAGCGTCAAGATTAAACCACCCAGCTCAAAGGACACAACAGTAACAAAACCATCATCTTCAGTCATAAGTATTCTTCATGATGTCAGTAGTTAACTCATTCAAAGCATACAATATACGCATATTATTGATTAAAGATATTGAATATAATAAAAGTAATCAGTAAGTGAGTAAATGGTATTTTTGTTTTCGATCATTTTAGGGTTACCAGATCCCCCAAGTAATGTACAGATAGAGGCTGGACCTCAGGATGGAATGTTGCTTATCACTTGGCTTCCAGTTCCACAGGATAGAGGAGCAGCAGATGCAGTAACAGCTGCTGGTGCTGGTAGCAGTTTACCAGTACAAGGCTATACAGTTTGCTTGAATGGTCAAGCTATTATGGAGCTCAAAGGAGCCTCAAGTACGTTGCATGTCGAAAATGTGAATACACTTATAGACCTTGGTGAATTTCTGTACAAATTTCAGGATATGATATTAGCTCATCGCTGGTATTCTGACTGACTTAACTCAAGGTTGTTGGAGAGGCATTTGATGTGTATTTATATCTCTATTGATTCCTTCTTATTTACATATAAATAAGTATAATATCCCCTTTTAGAAAGCTATTTTGGCAAAAACATCAACGCCAACTCTTCAAGTTAATGAAAACCCTCTTACTTATAAATTGGTAGTGAGAATTACTTTGAGTAATTTTCTTGGTAATTAATGATTTATAAGAAGCAGCTACCACGTAGATTAGATAAAAAAAAATGGTTCATAGTCGATAGATAATAATGATTCTAGTTATTAACCAGTCATTTCGATGATGAACCGTAGCAACAGTTCCATAGACTTTTGAGTGGTAAACCCTTTTTATTTCCCATCGTTGATTAGACTGAAATGATCGGTTACTCATTGGGAAGGATGCATATCCAACTGACGAAACCCAAGTAGGATGAAACATGCGTTCCTACATTTTGCCACTAGTCACTATCCATCAGTAGTTCAACTTTTATCATTGTTATTATTTGTCCGTTGGGTTCATAGTGGAACCTATGGCTCCAGTAACACGCAGCCATTTCACTCTCTTCTTTGCTGTCTTCTTAACCTGGCTCCACCACTGCCTATAAATTTCCATTTCCTCCTCACACCATCTCCTCCATGTCGCCCTCGCACACCCAATTCGTTGTCTTCCATATGGCTTCCACTCGTGGGCCTGGCCTGACCTGGTTCGTGATGTCCCCAAATGGTCTTCCAGTCTATGTCCAATCTAATCCATCTCCACTTTCTTCTTCTGCATATTTGTTGGACGATAGCTTCTTGGTTGGTTCGCTGTTGGGTCAGACTTCCTCCTTGCCTATTCCTATTATCCTGGCTATCTGATCATTAGTATTGAGCGAGCCTAGGCGGCAGCTGTTGATTTAAACATTCAGTTTTCTAGAATTGCTTTTCGTAACGCGCCAAGTTTGTGAACCATCACACAGAAGCATTGACTTGACTGATAATAATGTTGAAAATCATGATCTTGTCCACACTAGATGCTGAGTGCAATGAAGTGCAGTATATTTCCACACTGATTTCAGGTTGATGAACACCTTTCTTGCTGTGTTTCCGGTCGTGGTCCTGACATCCTCATCTGTGCCTGTGCTACCGCCTATAGTTGAGACGATGTTGCCTAGTTAGGTAGGTAGGTAGGTAGGTAGGTAGGTGGGTGAAAGAAACAACTTCTTTTAGATTTTTTTCCGTTTATGGTGGTCGATGCTTGTTGTTGTTATTGGTTGCGTATCTTCATCACCTCTGTCTTCTCCACGTTCACCTGACGGAAGTCCCGTCTTCTCTGCCTCTTCTGTCAATTTGTTTGTTTTTGCCTGTAGATCTTCGAGTTTGTGCAGTATTAGACACAAATTGCCGGCGAAATCCGAAACTTATTCTAGGATCTTCTCATCGGTCCAGCCAGTGTATGTCTATCTTCCCGCTCCTCACTGTTTTCTGCATGATACAGTCGACCGCAATCAGGAAGATCGTGGGTGATAGTAGGTGGCAACCTTGTCTTACTTATCAACCTGTCTTCACTTCAAAAGCATTCCTGAGCTTTCTTTTGTGTTGCGCATTACTTTGCATGCAGTATTCTCATATAGCATGTAGCTGCTGTTGAATGAGGTTGATAAAGTTTTGTGGCACTAAAACCGTATTGCTTAAGCAGCTGCTGCCAAACTACTTCTCGGTCGACGCTGTCAAAGGCCTTTTCAAAGTCGATAAAGTTGAGGTAGAGAGTTGACTGCCATTCTGTACTCTGTTCTGTGATGATGCATAGCGTAGCGCTGCAATATGATCTTCACCTGATTTGTTCTTCCTGAAGCCAGACAGCCAGTCAGCCTGTCCCGGTAGCAAATTTGAATCCAGAACACTTTTTAAGCTCTCCAGGATGATGTAGCTAAATATTTTGCTTGGGGTGGACAAGGATGGAACATGATTCCGCGTTAGTTCTTGCAAAAACTTAGGTCTTCCTTCTTTGGGAGTTTGACAAAGTGGCCATTCTTCTATACGACAGGTGCCTTTCCTTTCTTCCTTGTAAACTTTCTATAGTAGTAGTGTGAGCATTCCGCTGATGTCATTAGTTCTATGTACCCTTTTTACTGAAGGCGTGTTTAAATAAATTCAGGTTATAAATTATATTTACCAATTAATAATATGATAGTCGGTCGGCTATTTATTCATGTTAGTACATAACAGCTGAACAACACGCGCAGTTAAAAAGCGAGATATTACCGGCTGGATTAGAGTAATCCAACCACCATATGGCTGTTCTACTCTTTTTCAGCTTAGCACATCAGAATTGTATCTACATGAAATCAGCTATCGGAACAGATGAGCTTTTTGCAGACTAAGTAACTTTGATAGACCTGTTCAGCAAGAACTAGCTGATCAATTGGCAAATTTAAGTAGAGCGAGGACAATAGTTTTTGCAGAATAACATGGACCCATTTTGTTTCGCGGTTTCTCATCAGCTGCTAACAATGTAAAACAGTTATAACATCAACTTATATAAAATGTCTGCATACTTGAATAAATCTGATAGAAAATCACCGCTCCGAAAACAATGTGAATTGAGTAAATAAATCTGGTTAACAGTCTGACCTCGGAGCTCAGTTGCTAGAGAATCGGGCCGGAAACCCGGTGGTCGCTGGTTTGAATCCAACCACTGTCCAAAATCCTCTTTTCACCTTCAATCATCATCCAGTATAAATGCCACTCTGCCAAACTACGGCTATCCCAGACAGTCAAATCATAATCAACATGATCCTCCCCCTGTTTCTAATTCAGTCAGATTTGGATTGGAATGAGAAGTCCTGGTTAGGCAGCTAGAGTGGATGCTACCAAGCTGTAGTAACGCTCCATAAATTCTTATGGTTGTCAGGCAAAACCCTTGGTGATTGAAGTGGAATAAAAATCTGGTGAGCAGTCGGATCTTGTAACCCAGTTGGTAGAGTACCGGGTCAGAAACCCAGTGGTCGCTGATTCGAATCTTCATTTCACCTTCAATCATCACTCAGTATAAATATTGAGAACTAATAGTAAGTTTGTCGATATAAAGAAGGACTGGATGATTATTCTAGAGCGGAAGTCGGATAACAAGGAAAGACAAATGTATTCAACATATTAAGAAAGGTTGTGTAAAATATTTGTAGAGAGGGTAATAAGATTTCTGTTACCTGACAATAAGGGTGAGTAGGATTCGGAAAATTAAGTCTAGAGTGTGAAATGGGAAAACAAAAACACGTGTGTGAATCGATAATGATACTTGACAAGGGTTATGATCGTCAATAACACATGAGTTGTAGGATAGCAAGCCCAGACTGATAGGTGTTTTAGTCTTTTAATGGCTAACGATTCAGCGAAATGCAACAAGTTTGAAATCCCATATAGACATTTGAAAATAAAACTGATTGAACCTTGCAAAAGCAATTATCAGCGGCGCTAAATTATGTCACATCTACGACCACACGATATTAGGGGCAAAAAATAAAGACAAATTTTTTGATTCTGCCACTTCCATTTGCTTTTATCACTTCAACTGCTGTTTTACAGCTAGTTACATTGGGCGGATAATGAGTCTGATCCATTGTGGAGTTTCATAGCATCACCCATCATGGTTGTATGCGGGACAGATTAGAACAATAAAGAGCTCTATACTTGCACACTTAGTCGACACTGGACATCAAGTAGGTACTAGAAAAGCATTCACAATTATTCATCACATACCAATTAGTTTACCACATGGATTACGCATTCTCTCACTTCACATAGGAGAGGTGATTGTAATCCACCTTTACAACCCTAACCTTTATATTTAAAAGAAGTTTGTTTAACCACTTTTATTGCAGTGGCCGTCAACATGATGTAACTGTTGGTATTACTTTGTGTCTGTCTTCCCCATTCTGTTCTTTCACATACTCACTTCCTTTCTTGTTCTTACGTAATTATTTATTGTTTATGATTGATCACTCGTAACAACTATAGTTTGGATTTTTATAATCGATTGTTATTGTTCATCAACCCCTTACCACTTGATTGTTTTGATTGAACAATAAACCCTCTCTATATTAGTGTAGAGTCAAAAACGAAGACTTAATTGAAAAGGAATATATTTCTTCACTCAATCTGCATTTTTTTAAAAGATTTTAAATCATCTGTTCGGTAAATATTTTGTACGATTTCTAAATATCGACTTCATGCCCATCATCAATATGGTGAAGAGCAGTATCGTTTTTACAGACGTCTTTACCTCTCAGTCTCAAATTCCTAGAAATGTGCTTAAATAATGCGGTTAAAAATCCTTCTTGCCATTCACCCAATGTATATGCTTTAACAGGTACATGTGAATTGGCTTAGGAATCGATCTTATGCGAACTTAAAAAAATGAGAAGGGTAATCACTAATTATTTGTACTTGTTATGTACTTATAATTGTGAGATTAAGAAAGAACACAAGGTCAGGTAGAACAGTATGTTTGACAGACTGTGCCAAAATACTGAACCATTCAGTCAAACTGGTTAGCAGGTCACCTGTGGACATCGCACTGTAACACGACAAAATATCGATTGTTGTGGACGCTTGACCATCTACCCTCAGTTTAATAAGTTCGTTTCAACTACGAAGAATCTCATCGAATCCTAGGCTATTGATTTTGAATAATTATTTAGGCCTACTTTGAAGAATATAGTTGGAGGTAACATGAAGACAGCACTTGTCAAGCTAGTGAGCAATTCGTTCGATAGAGTGTGATTAACCTAGTGGCTGGATAAAATAGCATTTATTCTGTTAAAACTTTTATTGAGTGTAAGCAGTTGATGGTAAACCATGAAATAAGATGGATTCATGGTATTCTGCTAAAACTGTTGTTCTCGGTCTATTTTGATTTGTCAAAGTAAAGAAATGGTATGAAATTATTTGTATACTACGTAGTGTATAGTGACATTTTTGACAGTTGAGTAGTTTTTTTCTAACTGATTGAATAGTTTCCAAAACAAACCTGACTCACACAAGGGTTGATTGAAGAGTTTATGAATTATTCATTTATTACAAATGCTGTTGTTATCCTTTCGGTTTGTAAATAATTGCAAAACATTTATTCATTTATCTTAACCCTAACCCTACAGGATGCTACATGGCTTCTATTTATTAAACACCATTAATTATCGTTCTGACTAACTTTCCTCATTATTATTAATATTGTTTTGAAGTTAGTGTTCATCATGGACTAATATCAGTTGAAAACTTGGAGGCATTGGACAGATGTTTTCCCTAGTATGGGATTTCTCAGCTTTACGCACTCATCACTTTAACAGGGCTCGAACCCAGGACGGTAAAGGTTTATGGTGAACGCGTCAACCATTCAGCCACCAGGTTAAAGTTCAGCGGTCGTCTAGTTTTTTACTCCTGTCAAGTCAAGATATAGTGCGACTATCCACTAAGGTCTTCACTTGGCGTACGCTTTAATTCCAAATGGCTGATCTCACTGGTCAAGGCTTCTCATTGAAAATTGTGAAAAGTCCATCTGAAAGGATGTCCCACTGTTGTCAGTCCCGGATGAATTATTACTACTTGTCCCTTGGGTTCCTAGTGGAACATAGGGGTTCAGTAGCACGTCTCCATTTCATTTTGTTCTCTGCAGTCTTTTCAACCTGGCTTTATGACTGGTCAGGGATGAATACAACCTTAAAAATTTCAAATTCATTTTGTCCAGATTCACTTCTGTGCATAAACTAGTAACTTCATTAGAAAGTCGATTCCTACTGATGTAGGTAACAAGCATTTATATCCACTACTGTATTCCCACCGAACCCATTCGAAAATCATACATTTGTGATCACTCCCAATAAGTGTCAAGAAAATTAAGTTTTTGCATTGAATTACAGTGATTTCATATTATATAAGTTGATTGATTACCTTTCTCACATTATTCCTTTGATACATTTTTTTTCGCTAAGATATTCTACCGATAATCGATAGAGTAAGTGTTTTCTTGTCAGTTGTTGAATAGAACAACAAAACTGCTTTGAACCTAAAAGTTAGTCATTGTAGCCAACAATTTCACTCAACATATTTTCATAGAGAATGAATATTGTAGGAAGTCTAAATGGGACATGATAAAGTATAGAGAGAAATGAATGGGTAGATAGATAGACAGATAGTGCGTGCGTATGTGCATGCGTATGCGTATGTACCTGCTAAAACTAAGCCCGTATTGCTTGAAAAGGCTTATTGTTCTCTGTTTTTCATTGAAATGCAATAAGCTATCAGTGAGAACTGAATGAATGAATTGAAAAGGTTACTCAAAAACAATTCATTGTGGCCAGACAGACTCAACTTTATGACATAAATTGTTTATTCAATTATGCACAAGTAAATAGATACCTTCATTCTCTCAGTTTCTAGTGCATTGTCGACTTATCACTGGCATCTGATGTCAAAATACAGTTCTGCGTAGTGTCAGACTACTAAGCTGACTAGTCACAGTTCAAGTCTGCTCGACAAAATTAGGTGAACACCAAGAAATTCTCGACTACACAGGTTACCACTTGATGACTAGTTCTACAAAAAAATCAATCATAATATGACTAAAGCAGCGATGGAGACTGGAAATTCATTTCCAACAGCCATGACTTCAAGCCCCCAATGTATTACAGGTGCACTTAACATCTAAGACATATTAAAAACTATCAAAATAATACGAAGCAAAGCTTCCTTCATAACACTTAACACCAAACCGCTCAAGTAAGTAGGAAATAAAAGGATGAATAATACTCCCCACCACGATTTCTGAGCACTTTTTGAGAAATCTATGCTTCAGTCTTGATGAGTTCAGTCACAAAACACTTAATATATATTGGGCACTAATCAAACTTTTTAGTAATGATTATACAGGGAATACTAAGTCCGCTGTTGAGAATGAACTATTGAGAAGGAGACTATGTATACGGAACAGGAATGTGTCCAACTCTGCTCCTTCCTAATAACTGGTTATCAGTTGTGTTACCTGTTTTTGTTCATTTTCAAGAAACGTTTCGATCACTAGTCGTTTTTCATTCTTAGTCTGCCCTAGTCTCTGCAGTTATTTGCATAACAGTTCAATTATTCATCATACCTTTATTATGAATCGATTTCGTTTCTACCTAATCCTAGAGCTATGTATACTACTTAAATCCACTTTGGTTTTGATTATTTTGCGGTTATTCTTCTGTTTTTTTTGTTGATCGATTGATGCAATGCAAATTTTACATTTCCCCAACACGCCAAAAATTAGTTCGTTACGTATTATTTAAACAGCAACCTTGATTGAATGCAAAACCATCCGCGTTTGATTTGAAGCCTTGACATAAAAACCAACCTTTTTTTAGTATATTGTAAGCAAGTTTTTCACCTTACAACTTTCAATGGAGTCAATTTTCTTATCTAACTGACAAAGATATTTAATTTGAGGGTTTTTAGGGGTTTATTGATTTTTCAAGTTCGTATTCATCATGGACTGACATAAGTTGGAAGAACACTGAAAATCTGGGAGTACTGAGAATAGCTGTTTCATCGTAGCATGGGACTCTTCATCGGTGCATATCCGTGACCCTGCTCTACCAGAGGTCAAACTCAGGACCTTGAGGTTCCGTAGCCACTGGATCAGAATTCAATAGTACATACATTTCCAACTTCTGCCATGGGTGCACAATGCTGAGGAGTCGCATGCTAGGACGAAATAGCTGCTGAGTGCTCTCTGATTTCCAGTGTTCTTCCAACTGATGCCAGTCCATGATGAATACTAACTTGAGAAAAACGACAAAGATATTTTTGAACTGTATAAGATTTTTTAATATCTTACCTACATTCGAATTAGTTTTTCAAAGTAAGTATCGCTTCCTGACAATTTTAATTGTCATAATTATTTGTTTATATTTGTAATTTCCGTATGTTGTTTTACGGCATAGAATTGATTGGTCACTGTTAGTATATGTACTTCTTTGTAGATGCCTCGATATTGCGTGAGTATTCATTGTTATAATTTACATGATGATGGCTAGCAGTGAAATCCATAACTGACGTTTCGTCCTATTTGAGATTCATCATCTACATATATATCCATCCCAATAACTGATTTTGTCCCCAAAAAGACTTGAAGCCTATACCTTATCTTCAAATGCCAAGCCGTTATTCACTAGGTTAGTGACATACCAATCTGACTCGTTGCCTCAGTAGCCCAGTGCACAACGTCTTCGTACTTATAACTATGGGTGTGAAGTTCGAGTCTTGGTGGTAACATCATTACTCACAGTGGCCGAAGCACATCTAATTAATGTCTCAAATAAGAGGAAATTCGAATGCTAATAATCACCAAGTGCAGGTATATCAAAATAAAATTGAAGTGTGACTTCAAGTTGCAACACTCCACAACGGATTACGAGATGAAAGTGAACAAAAAATTGATGATAGGAACAAAAAAATAGTTAATAAAAGTCCATGAACGTCTTTAAAAGATTGAAGATACTGTCGAATAAAAATGTTTATGCAATAATATGATCCTATTTTGACCCATATACCCTAATGTCTCTAACTACTTATTCCTAAAATATAGATAACCTGAATAGTAGGTAAGAAGAGTTTATGCTTACACTGTTTTTCAATGAGTATTTCAACAATATCATCTATGTTTTCTTATTATTTCTAGGAGATCATGCTATCCTTAGATTATGTGATATTAGAGATCATGTACAAAGATTGACGAATACTTCAACATCATTACACAACAACAATAACAGTATTAATAATAGTAATATTTTTTCAAATCAAAGTAGTTCAAGTAAATTTTCCAATCCTGTATTAAATTCAACTGCTTATGCAACAATCACAGAGCTATACATTACTGTACATTCAACAGTCCCTTTGAATTCATTAAATTCTAATATTAATCAATCATCTATTGAAATATCATCATCTGAACAGGCAAGTAATACATCAACACATTGTACTCTGTTAAAAGGTTCAGAAGGTCCTGCATCAAAACCGATACGTTTAACTCCTTGTTTATTGATTGCTGCAGCTGGTTCACTCGAAGCGGCTTACACTGTATTTGGACCAAGTCTTGCGATCAAAATTGGTATTGTAAGTTGATTGATAAACACTTTTGAGTTGGATTTCTTTTACAGAATTATTATTCCACCATTTGAGGTTGGTTTTAAGTAAAGGAATCATGTTGCTAGGATTATAACTATCAAGGATTATGTATAGATTGACTAATTGAAGAATAGGTTCTATCGTAGGTTAATGTCAGTCAAAGAGGCTTTGAAAACGTGGGGAGCCTGAACAATGGTAAGAGATCGTGTCTCGGATCATCCTGTTTCATATCCATATCCAGTCGCTGGATCAGAACCTGAACGTTCGTATTTTCCATCTCCCTTCAGTTAGTTATATAGCTCGATAGTCAACTTATACGTGACGTGATAGCATGTAACTATAAAAGGACTACTCAGCAAGCGTAATATCTTAACCAAGATAAAGATTATTAATCGCTTGAGGAAAGTTTTCGTCTAAAGTAGCAACATCATGGTGTGCGTAAGGATATCCATTGTTAACATCCTCTTTTAACTTCCTTACTAATGAGCAGTTGGACATAACCTCAGGTAAATCCGATCCCTTGGGGATTGAATTATTCCGCTGAAAGCACTTAGTTTACTCCGAGTAAGCAGGAGAAATATTCATGTTAGATAAAGACGCTGATAATATGTAGGGTCTTATGAAGGCCTTGAACAAAAATCTTAGTATGTTTTGTATGCGCTTTGTACTCATCAGCAATGCATCGATTCTTTGTTTAGACATGAGAAGTGAAGTTGAACGAGTCGATCACTTCATTTGAGAAGCTACATCAGCCCAAATAGGTTCGTTAGTGGCAAAGTCTCAGTTAGAATGTAAAACACGCATTCTTCATTTGCTAAGTTATACGTCTCTGGTGTCGGTGAAATACCCGACTACCGACTAAAAGACGAGTATACTACACTTCAGTACACCCTATTTTACAGCTTCGAGTTTTGGCCATTAAAAGCGCAAAACACAAGAAGGTTAAAGATTTTGACCACATGTGTTGTCATAGTATTAAATATGTGTACCTGAACTAGCACCTGATCAGTGTTAAGGCCTGGCGTAGAGTACTAAACAAGTGAGGTTATCCAGCTGATGAAATTCATTTTCTGAACTGAATGAGGTTCCAATATCCATCCTGACTCACAATGATAACTGAGGTGGGAAGGAGTTGGATCAAACCTAAGGGTGGTCATACTATAACCTTGCGCCAGTCCATGAAATCTAGTGACATATAAATAGATGCAAGCTGTCCGGTTAACAAGATTCTGATGATACAAGTTGTTGGCTGGGAACTCTAGATAACTTTGATAAAAATTGGTGGCGACGGTGCAAATGTATACACTGCTTGTTTTCTTTGAAACTGTCAGTATTTTCATCAATCTCCACTTATCTATTCTGTCCCATCTTATGCACTCTTTTCTACTTCAGTGTCCTTCTTTCTATGTACATGTGTTTGCATTGTTACTGTGAAGCGTGACAACTTGACTTAGTAAACTACTATCTCAGGTTCTAGGTTAATTAATTTGTCTGTCTGTGTTCATCGTGCAGTGTCAATCGTAAGCGTCCATCTTTAGCTACTCCAGTACTATGAGGTTATTATAGTTTCCCACCTAACATCAATTCATGGTTTAAACTACTTTGAATATTATTACTTCCTAAATTGTTTCTAGTTGCTTTTAGTTACACAGTGAATTCAACTAAAAGACTGAGAAGAGAATGAATATCTTCTCCAACACACTTTCGTGCCATTCAACAAAACTTTTTTTCTCCTTGTTACATATTTGCTGCAGAATAGAGGAAGCTGGGATCTTAAAAGCAAGTACTTTAGCGTCTAACGACTAGATCAGTTTCTGGGGGTTTGAATTCGAAAGGTTTCACTAACTTATAAAATAACCTTATTGTCAATAGGTGTTACTGGTAGACATCTATCACCAGTGACTGCGAGGTTGACTTCTTACATTACGGCTGGTCATTACATTATTTGAATGTGGCTCACATAGTCCATAGGTATTTTTTGTAAATAATAAACGAATATATTATATAAATGGCTCGTAGACGACTACTTCGCCTTCTATCAGGAACTCCCTCACTAATTTTCAGTGCATTACCCATGGGACTCCTTAGCAGTAGGAACATATGACCTCATGAAGGATCCTACCCAGAACCTCCATATTAATAGGTCAGCATGTTACCACTGAATCACCAGATGGGAATACAATAGCTCACGATCTGCTACTTTTGGTAACTCCCTTTACATCCTCACTTCCATCCAGTGTGATGGATGAGTACTTATCCTCACATTCAACTTAATTCTCCTAAGAAGTATTATCTCTACATGCAGTCAACATTCGACTAGTTTCTTTGTTATTCCATAATGTCAGTGATTTCACATTAACTTCACATCGCATAATTCACTTCTAGCCTATGCTTCTTTATTATGGTTTGGTGGAGGGATGAGAGAGTTTATGGGGCTCTGTTGAAACTCTGTTGTCCAGTTAAGCTAAAGCATAACATGTGTGACTCATTCCGCTGATAACATGTTCACATTCTGTAAAGATACAGGTTGACTATCTGTATGTGAAATCGTCTATCTAATGATAAAACTATTCACATATTCAAATGGCTTTTGTTTTGCTACTGAAACAGCATTGTTGAACTAAGCACCTATAATTTCTTCACTTCAACCAATTATTAGTACTTTATAATAACGCATAATTCAGTTCCAACCTATACTTTTATCCTTTCGAGTATCCGTAAGAATCCCCTCTTGATATTGTATGTATTATTGATCTCGGTTTACAGCATCTCAATATTTGTCAGTGATAACTTTCTTGAGATTGAAGCTTTACTTGCTGTAAAATGTCACTCATTTCTGACTCTTAAAGACATCTTCATATTCCAAGAAGATGAGTATCCATTCACATACTTCTTCAAAAATTCACTGACATTATTATTTCTCAGTGTTGATTGATACGGACCAGATTGGTCGGGGTCTGTTAGCATATGGGCTGCTTCATGGATGCCTGAATGTATCCGGTGATCTATAATGACTAGTAGTGGAACACTATCACTCGTTAAGATGCAAATGCATTCAGTTGATAGGTCCCAAAGAGGACGAAACGCGCCTCCTAGATTCCATTACTAGCTAGTATTCATTTCTTATCACTCAAAATTTATTCATTTAAAATTATGTGCTTACAGTATGCTTTTCTCGACATACTTTTCAAGATAGCAACTTTGTAACATATTGCACTTTGAATATGATAGTTTATTCAGTTGCTCTTAGAAAAGAATCGGAATCCCGCAACATTCAGAAGAAAATCCACATGAAAATTTAGTATGAATCCATTTACTTTCATCTATAACAAATGGTAATCAGTTTTTACTCAGACATGATCAATGTTTTCATGCATCTGGTTCCATTTGGGAGTTCAAACTGAGCGAGAATGACGAGATTTACAAAACAGGATGAATTCATCATATTTGGTTTCATTCTCTTCTGCCTTGTGCTAGCTAAGATACAGGGTAATGAATGAGGGTGAAGTGAAAATCTAGGCCATGGTGGGATTCAAATCAGTGACCTCAAGGTTCAAGTCCTACTTCAGTGCAGACTTTCACTTCACCTTCAATTACCACTCAGTATTACTGCAAGTTTACCAAATCACAGCTATCTAAAAGAGTCAAACTGCTAAGCTAAAATGGTTCATTATTTTTGTTATCAATGAATATTGACATCCTTGAGTTGTGTCCATCAGAGACTGAAGAGTAACCCTTCGAAAACTGGAACTCATGATTAGAACTTTTTGAAGGAATAACGAAGTTTTACCAGTATTTGGATTCATAGTCCTGTAACATAAGACGAGATAAGAGATCATATAATACAGTTGGAAAAACTAATGGTAACAGGAATCAAAGGCTTAGAACAACTGAAGCTCAGTCAGCTGTGATCATCTGTGAGATGGTATCAAAGCCGGAAAACAAGCTGGTTTAACATCCTATAGCATAAAATGGTACAAAAGTAGCTGAAAATTAATGACTTAGACTACCGGAACACTAAGATTAGGTTTCAGCCTTCTAATTCCCATGGTCACTGGGAACCTGAGTAGCTTGGATGTATTGTGATTGTTGTCCCAGATGCATCTGTTATATCCACTTTATTTCGTTTGTCTAGTAGATGTCATGTTTTACAGTGGTGTAAGCTGTTCAATCACCTCTAGCTTAGATTTCGTCGTTGGTATCTTGTTCTTGTGAATGCAACATTTAGTACCACTTTCCACCTGCAATTGATATTCTGCTTGATTTGGTCACATTTGAATACCGACTGAATGATTTAAGGCTTCCAGTTAGTTTCTATCTTTTCACCGTTATATCTCTTTAGAAGTCTTTCGAGATGAGCGTTTTGATGAAAGTATTTCTAATTTAATATATACTTGTCTTCTGCATTATCTGTGGAGCATAACTGTGAATCTATTATGGAGTGACCTTACAAAACTCTGTCTATAACTCACTAGGCAAGGAAAATGAGACCAGTTCCAAGCTTCTTGTCGTTCATAAGATTTTCGTTTGGTCACCTCAATTTCTTCCAGTACAAGAAGTGGAAGGTGTTATTTCATTCTAATTCTACTATAAATTTAGTGTTAGGATATTTTTCACTGAGTTCACCTTCTTTGAGAAAATACGTCTCCTTGCAGACTATTGTTGATATTTTATGTAAAGTTATCAATGCAATAGTGAACAACACACACAGTTGGAAACCATGTATGCCTATCGAAAGAGTAGAAGCGCTTAAGAAACATTTCACTTTTTCAAGATGAGCTGATCAGCGAAATCCTAGGAAGAATTCTGCTGAGAATGGAGTGAAATCGTTTAGATCAGGTGAGTTGGGCTGAATGCGTTGGCAGTGAAACCCAAGGCTCACGTTTCGCTCTGGCGTTTGAAGCGATTACCCTCCGGTTCGACTCTTAGTGGGAACAACTTCGCTCACTGAGAGGCAGGTATATCCAGCTGACGAACCCGAAATAAGA